TTCCGCTGGTTTGTACACCATTATGCCCACAACAGGTGTGTTCCGAGGTATAAAAGGGGAAATGGACAACATCTACACCTCAATGTGAATATCACATATTTTACTGGTTAAATAGCCGGCTGTTCCAATCGGCCAGCCAACAATCCACTCTTCTGTGGCTGGGATGGCATTCCAAGTGTTTTCCAAGTGCTACAGCCTTTCAAGCAGCTTCTACTCCTCGTAGTTCTTCTTGATGTCTTTCCACAGCTTCTGCAAAAAAAAAAAAATATGACAAAAATGTGTGAGCAGCGCAGCACAGAAACATGATGTTCGGGAAAAAGAAATTTAAACTGGGCTAGTTGGTGGGAACTTGTAATAGGATGATTTTAGTGTGCACAAACAGACAAAGATGAAAAGGCAGCTTCCTCATGTCTTCGTGTTGCTTTTGTATTAAACTTGTGTTGGAATTACTGCAATCTCATATAACTGGCGATGCAAAATACACGATGACTTTTTGATGAAAGATAAAAGACCACTCGAGTTCCCCTCGCTCTAATTTTTCAAAAAGTTCGTAACCACTTTCGTGCTGCCCATCCCCTTATATAAAACCCTGAAGTAAGGTCTTTCAAGCACTATTAACATATAAACTTCGCAACCCTACATGGAAAGTTTAGAACCAGCTGCGTGAGCTGTAAAAAAACTAATATTCACTGGCGCTGAGCTGTGCTTCCTATTGATAAATGGGGCCACTTGTTGTGAAATGTATCAAAGTTTCATTGTCAATCTCCGTTGATGTGGCTTGAGTGTGCCTTGGCGGCATGCGACGTTCGCACCGGCAGATACAGATGTGGGATCCAAATGTGTCGACTTCCGCCTTGTTCTTTAAATGGCTTGTCATTCATCAACTGCTTCATGTCGCTGGGAGGCTAACACTGCTAAAAAAATTAGTGAAACTGTGAGGAAGAAGATGGACACATGCAGAAGCGCATTGCCATCGCTTGGCTCGCTCGGCTGTTCGTTCCCTTGCTACACTTTGCCTGCTGCTGCTGCTGCTGCTGCTATCTTCCCGGTCGCTGTGTACCTCAATAAATCCCTGTAACAAGTGGTGGAGCTGCTGTGTCGCGCCAACCTGGAACTTTGCAGCCGGAAGCTCAAGCCAGCCTCTGCAATGCCGGATGAAGTACCAAATTCAGCGCAGCAACAACCTTCTGTCCTGATGCCCAAATTGGTCTGCCCTGGCCCATCGCGTTAACGCGACCCACCAATCTTCAGCGGTACAGAAGAGGAGGATGTTGAAGACTGGCTCGTCGAATACGAACGGGTAAGCGTGATCAACCGCTGGGATGACGCTGCGAAGCTCAGCTACGTGTCATTTTATTTGAGTTCCGTTGCCAGCGTGTGGCATCCAAACCACCAACGCGACTTCCCGACGTGGGCTGCTTTCAAAACGCACATGCCGGAAGTATTTGGGCACCCCGCTGTTTGCAAACTTCGAGCCGAGCAACGGTTGCGTGGCCGCACACAGCAGAATGGTGAAACATTCACCAGTTACATTGAAGACGTCGACATGTGTAACCGCCTTGATGCCGCGTTGGCCGATGCTGATAAGATCAGGCATACCTTAAAAGGGATTGAAGACGACGCCTTTCAGATGCTGCTGGCAAAGAACCCGTCCGTAGTGTCTGAACTTGTCAGTCTTTGCAAAAGTTTTGATGAGCTGCGCAAACAATGCACAGCCACGCGCCGCTTTCGTCCACAGGCAACTTTAATGTCGGGATTGGCGGTTGCTCCTGACAACTCATCTCTGCTGCTACAGATTAAGGATTTCGTTCGTGAAGAGGTCGCTCGCTAGCCTTCGCTGATGCTGCTTGTTCACGACCAGTCGAATTCCTCGTTGGCGCCCCAACATCATCAGGGACCAGGTCGCCGAAGAGGTCTCACCTTCGCACCATCAGGCTCCCGACTGCTGCTCCCCTGACGTACGCCGCAGTCGCTTCCAGGCCTGTGATGCAAGGTTACAGCTCTCGTAGTCCGCCTATTCGCCCGCAAGTATCGCCCGATCCTGCTAAACTTCGAGCCATATCCGAGTTCCTGAAGCCTACTAACCTGAAAGCACTGCGCACCTTCATTGGCCTATGCTCCTATTTTCGGCGCTTTGTTCGTTATTTTACTACTGTCATCGCACCTCTCAATGCACTTCTCCAAAGCGACAACGAACTATCTACCTGGTCAGAAGCTTGTGACGATGTGTTTACGACACTTCGGCGCCTGCTTACGTCTCCACCAATTTTGCGTCATTTTGCTCCGAGCGTACGCACAGAAATTTACATTGATGCTAGTGGTGTCGGCCTTGGTGCTGTGCTCGTACAACGTGACGATGTCAACGCTGAACACGTGGCTGCATATGCCAGTCGTGCACTCACAAAACCTGAGACCTATTGCACCTTAACCGAAAAAGAGTGCCTGGCCATCATATGGGCTCTACAGAAGTTTCGTCCATATTTTTACGGTTGTCCTTTTGATGTTGTAACAGACCACCACGCTCTGTGTTGGTTGTCAAACCTCAAGAACCCGTCAGGTCGCCTTGCTCAGTGGGTCCTCCGACTCCAGGAATACGACATCCGTGTCGTATATCGTTATGGCCAACAACACTCTGATGCTGACGCCCTGTCACGCTTCCCACTCATTTCAGACGCCAGCGCATCTAGTCACAATCACGATATTTCACCACTTGACATCTTGGACATGGCCTCGGAGCAACGAAATGACCCATGGATCGCCACAATTCTAAACTTTTTGTCAAGCCCCCGACCACCCCGGCTCCATGAGCGCTACCCCGCCAAGTGCAGCTTTACGCTATCCGCGATGGTCTTTTATACCGCTGTAACTACAGCAACGATGGCCGCACATGGTTATTGGTCGTGCCCCGCCATCTTGAACGCGATCTGTGCTCCGCTTTTCACAATGAGCCTCACTGTGACCACGGTGGCGTGTTCAAGACGTACACGTGCCTTCGCCTACGCTATTATTGGCGCGAAATGTACAGCTTCGCTTGCAAATACGTCCGCTCATGCCTCGCCTGCCAACGACGCAAACCAGTCTCGCACCTCTCCAGCCACTTTCCTGCCCAGCCCACCCATTTGATCGCGTCGGCATTGACTTTTACGGGCCTCTCCCATGCACTGACGCTGGCAACCACTGGATTGTCGTCGCCGTGGATCACGTGACAAGATACGCCGAAACCGCTGCATTACCAGCTGCAACAGCCAAGGACGTTTCCTAGTTTATTCTACGCAGCTTTGTTCTCCGCCATGGCACCCCTCGTGAACTGCTCAGTGATTGGGGCTGTGTATTTCTCTCAGACGAGTTGCAATCACTCCTATCCGAATGCAGAATTATTCACCGTACCACTACCACATATCACCCACAGAGAAATGGATTAACGGAACGATTTAACCGAACTCTGGGTGACATGTCGATGTATGTTGAATCAGACCACTGCAATTGGGACCTTGTTCTTCCGTTTGTCACATTCGCCTACAACACCGCCTCCGAAGCCACCACCGGATTTTCACCATTCTTCTTGCTATACGGCCGTGAACCCACTGATACGATTGATACGACTGACACCATTGATACGATTCTGCCATATCATCCAGACGTTGACGACTACCAGCCTGTGTCTGCGATGACTCACCACGCCGAAAAAATGCCGACAACTGGCCCGTTCTTTCACCTACGACCAACAGTGTCGCCAAAAACAGCGTCACGACTCCGACATTCCTCCTGACCCTTTCACCGTCGACTCTCTCGTGTGGCTTTGGCTCCCGCCAGTTGCTGCTCCCGGCCTTTCGTCTAAGCTTCCGAAGTATCACGGACCCTACCGCGTGGTTGCGCAGACTTCTGTTAATTATGTGGTTGAACCCGCTACGCCATCTTCCGACCTTCGTCGTCGGGGGCGAGAAACAGTCCACATTAACCGTCTCAAGCCGTATTATGACCCTCTGACCTCTCTCTAAGTCGCCAGGGTGGCTACCTCTCGATACCGGGGGTTATTGTGAGGAAGAAGATGGACACATGCGGAAGCGCATTGCCATCGCCTGGCTCGCTCGGCTGTTCGCTCCCTGGCTACGCTTTTCCTGCTGCTGCTGCTATCTTCCCGGTCGCTGTGTACCTCAATAAACCCCCGTAACACAACATAATCTTGGCTGCCCGTTCTATGCACTGCCGCAGATTTCACGCAAGTGGAGCTGCATTAGGCGCAACATTTAATGATTAGCAGTCTTTAAAGAATATGCATCCCCTACAGAAGGACCTCTTAAACCCAGCCATAATTTGACCCCGCATATCGAGAGAGTTTAGCTTGGCAAGATTCGGGGTGCCTCAGGCCGAAACATCTAACGGTTCGCATGTACCGCGGATTACAAGTGTGTTACTAGGCGACCTCATGTGCTACTTCGCAGTACACGCAATGATAATATTATTGGAAGCACTGTACGTACCCCTTTATTCACCGATTCGAAGATCGTGTCCGCTGCAACATCCGTAGCACGCTCGAAGAAGAATGCTCCCACAACCACCGCTAACGCAAACGTCGATGTCTTCTTGAAGATGCTGTTGTACAATACATTCACAAATCCACCGGCCATCGCGATAAAGTTCTGGGATCGACGAGCGCAGCTGCAGGGAGGTTTAGAGGCACCGGCGACCTCAACGAGCGATTTGTCCTTGCTTTCTCTTGTGAAGCCAAAAGAGCAGCGACTGTAGCTAGTGCTACAGTTGGCTTTAGAAAGCTGCTCGCCAATCCACCTTTCTGAAATATGTTAGATGTGTTTTCAGCGCAAATTGTAAGATTATAAAAATTGTAGTTAGTAATTAAAAACAGTTCGTTTTTAGATCAGTTTTTTAGAATAATGTAGCAAAAATTGTATTGATATATAAACGCCAAGGAAACGCATCAGACAGTGACGTCACCACTGCTCTAGGCGTCGGTTGGTTTTGGCCGTTTTGGCCTTGAGCATGCTCGAAGCCACTTGAAGCAGCTTGCCGTAGCCGGCACCGCGCGCGAGCCAAGCGGTTCATTCGTGTGCAGTGAATGTTTACGAAGTTCAGACGAGTTTTGTTTGTTTCAGCACCGTTTCGAACTTCGTACTACAGAAAAAGTGCCTGACTATTGTTCGCCATGCCTTTGGGTAGGTTCTCTCTCTGAGGGTTTTTCTTGTCCCGACAACAAAACAAACCTGCCGGTTTCTGATTTGCCTGGCGATTTCTCTATTTACCCGCTTAGTCGTGCGCAGTGATTGCTATATAGTTAGCGCTTTTGCTCCAACTTTTTTCTTTTTTTCGACAGAAGACGAAGGCAGCTTGTTGGTCACAATCCTCGACACAAATCCTTGCGCCAGTTTACTTCAAAATGAAGAGGTGAGCGTCTCCTGTCTCTCCTTGTGGCATTTGAATGCAGAACCCAAAAGTCGCTGCTGCATCTCATATCCACAGCATGTTGCTGGAAGCTATGCTGCTTATATTTGAATGTGCTGTATTATTTTTTGAGTTTTATTTGTGAACTCAAGGTGGCGTGGTTTGCCATGGCGTGAAATTAAAAACACGCACCCAACGTCACACATGCACAGACTGTTTCGGTATTGTGTTGGACAACCGCCCGGATGCGTGTATGTGTGTGTGTCAGATAACCTTGCGTTGAACTTTATTTTGGACGGTTGGAAACATGTAGCGTGGGCTTTTTCCTGCTAATGATAGAGACTAGGCGCATAAGACGCGGACAAAGGAGTTTATGATACGCAAGCATTGTGCGTCTCAAGCTTCTTCTCTGTCCTCGTCTTGTGTGCTTGTAGTTTCTGTAATGTGTTACCAACATGCCCCAAACGGTCACCTCAGTGCACACAGAGTAGTTTTTGCAGCTGGAATTTGTATGGGATTAGTGACTGGACAACTTCATCTGATGTGATTACATCTTATTGTTGCAGGGCATAGTATCAAGGTTTCTCGATGCGGCCACAGTGTTTTGCAACTCGCATTTGATGCTCAATCCATGCAATCGGTTGGCAGTCATTGCCTGCCATTCACATAAAAGGTACAGTTGGCAAAAGATGTGCAGTCACTACATGTGGATGTGAACATCCGTGGCTAGTGCATGGCCAGTATTAATAGGGAATCTGTTGCTTTCTCTCTCTTTCTTTTTCCAGCTCATTTCTTTACCCCAAAGCACTGCCCTCTACCCAAGATATTGTATCGGTGGACGGGCAGTACGAACTCTTCAGTGAAGTTACAAATGCCATCAAGGAAGGGGTTAAGGAACTAGTCTCATCAGGCAAGCTTCTGTTCCATAGCTAGAGAATCCTCAGTAAGGACATGATGGGGGGGGGAAGGGAGCGACTGCTGCCCTCCCTCAGGAGCAAACACAAAGTACAACAAATGAATTCCCTGCCTCCAGGTACACCCCGCCCCGCTCAACAACAGATACACAGTAAAATCCTGCCACCACCCGTGGGAATTTTAAAGATTGAAAAAGCTGTAAAGGGCTACTAATTTTTTATTGCAGGCTTTGTATACTGATGGTCAGCACTGCCTTGAGCATTGCTCACAGCATTGACAAAAAAACAAAACAAAAAAAACTCATGCATACCATTCACTGCATTGCTGCCAACTGTATGAGTATGTAGCAGCACTGTCAAGAAGCATGTTGGCCAGAAAGCGATTTAACCACTTGCTCGTTCATAATTGGTTATAAAAAAAACTATTGTGATAATTGCTGTTCTATTGCCGAAACATGATTGAGATTTGGTTGCATTTTATATGCTGTATTTTTAATAATAATGCAAGCAAACAAACTAGGTGTGCTGACTGCTCTTTTGCCTCTCGCATACGAGTTTGGTTATATAGAATGGCCCACGCAAGTTGTGTATCTCTGTGAAAGACTCTTTTAGGGGCCAAGCTCCTTACACCGTAGGTAGTATGTCCTATGTCATCGTAGTGATCGTAATAGCCAGTTTCATTGCATGCCAATAAAAACGGTGTCACAGCATATCCATGGAGCGAATGATGATGAGTAGGGCGAAGCGTCCATTCGTCTGTGTATCTGTATGTCTATTTATGCAACCGTGCTTCTCTCTGCGGTGAGCTTTGCTCCACTCGTCATCATTCACCTTGTGGATATGCTGTGAATTTTTCTTGCTTGTGTATACTTGTGCGCAGTTAAACAAACCTGTGTACATAATGCACGCTTGTGAATGATGCCCAAGGGAAGTTAGTTTCTCATTGCTTCACCTTGTACGTTGCCCTAGCAGTAGTGCCATCTTGTTGATAAAGTAAGGAACATGCATTTACGTGTGTGCATGCACTTGTCCCCTAAATGCTTTAAGTGCACCAACAAACGTGGACAAAAGTGTTTGTTAACACAAAAGTGTGCTTAGAATTTCGACGCTCAAAGGTGGGCTTGATATACTTGGTGGCTGTTGGGTGGTTCTTGCTCGGCTGCTGACTTGAACATCATGGCTTCGATTTTGGCAAGGGTAGTTGCATTTTTGTGATAGTTAAATGCCAGGGGATGCCAATGCACATCAATGAACACCATGTGGCTGAAAATACCAGACTTCTTCATCGCACTTTGCCTCATAGTCGTGTGATATTGTCACATAAAACACGACATCTTAATATAGTATTACAATGTTTTTAAGTGACCGTATTGATGGATAAATGCACTACTTTTGTTGCTCGGGGAGATTGCTGGAAAAGTCGTTTGAAGCATTGCTTTCTGTGCACTTTCTGTCTTACTTTCAGATAAGGGCGAATCCCAAGTTTCAGAGACCCTGCTGACGGGAGGGCTCAGCCTTGCACTTTGTTGTATCTTTTTGTAAAGTTGGTGCGTGGTTCTTTTTTTTCTTTATGTAGAATTTGTTGCAATCTTGTTGTGTTTCTGAGTGTTTTTCTGAACGCACCACGACCACAGACATTAATAGGATAGAGAAGGAGACGGCAGGTCAGAAAAAAATAGCATCTCGTATCCTGGTAAGTTCAGTGCTCCGAAATATGGAAAATTTATGAGTAGCTAATTCACCCCCTTTTTCCCTCTTGCAGGTGCTATCTGCATCAGGCGAAAGTGCTTCTCAGTACCTCAACTTCATGAATGTTTTTTTTACTGCACAGAAGAAGGTTTGTGCTTGCATCAATCATTGCATTCATTACTAATGTAATTTTACAGCTCTTGCTATCTTCAAAAACACTAATGGAGAGCAGTAAGCGTGCTTACAACTTGTAACAAGTGTGCACTGCACCTGCAGAAAAGTCAGTGAGATTCGCCACTGCTCCAGAAAGACCAGAAATAAATATTATTAAACTCAGTAGCATTGGGAACAGGTACACTTGATAGTCAGTGAACTGTATGACAATGCTTTTACAACCTCCAGTTTATAAGGTTCTCAAACATTCAAAAGGTTCTCACGAAAAATACATGTCCCAACAAAAGGCGGTCTTGTGCACCGTATGAGTTAACAAGCACATTTATAGGTCTCTATTTCATAGTCGCTGTGTTCCCAAGTTTACTGTCACGGCTCGCATTCCTTTTCAGAATGTCATCATAGATGCGTGTGTCCTTGAAAAGGACTCTGGCTTGCTTCAACAGGTAAGCTTCTTTAACTCCAGGAACAGTGCTTCTTTCTCTCATTCTACAATTATTATTAAGTCGGCGCATTCTTGAGCACATATCGCAGAGCTGTGTGGAAAACATCGACCAATGAAGGCGAGTATACAGGATGGAAATTCTGTGTACTTGCCTTTCTGTGTCTGTTTTTTTTTTTGTACGGCCCTGCTATGTGTCTCATAACTAATACTGTTGTCATTACAATGATTATTTAACATGGTGCATGTTTCTCTTGTGGTAGCCACTTCTGTGAGAAATTAGGCATGTACCAGTACTATCACTCATCGCTGTGGTCATGAATAGTACTGTTTCGGGAGTTGTTACGTAAAATAACTTTACTGCTTATCAAAAAAAAAGGGGGAGGGGGGTCAGATTTACCTGTTATCAAAAGCGTACCACAGGATAGCATTTTCTGCTAGTGATTTATGTATTGAATTGTCACTTGCACGGCAGATTCGCACGCAATTTTTTCAAGCGAGCTATTCTCATTATATCTCTTCGAGAAATGATCATTGTTTCAAGATTTTAGAGTACCGTACCAGATCTCATTTGTATGCTAATTCGTTTTTTGTTCATTCCATTAGAGAATGGAATCACTTATCAAATGAACAAGTGTGCTGTATTAATGAAGATGTGTTTTTCTCGACATTGTAACCCCCCTGCTGCAGCGCCTTCAGGCTAAGCGGGGTAATCATTGAATAAAGAATTCTTTAGATTGTCTGTTTCTAGTACAGATGACTGGCTAAAGGATGTATTGTCCACCTAATCACTCAATGACATACTTATAATCAACTCTTTATTGTTAAATTGTCAAAAGTGCATCAGTCTGGCACTTTTCTCAACATTCTGATTGCAGTTATGTCAAAACAGGTCATGTGATTAGGCCACCCATTTTCCCCGAACACAGTTTACAGAAATGTTACCTAGAGGGTGCTGTGTAGGCTATCAAAAGAAATGACCAGTGTTACAAGAATTATGCGAGTGTGTGCAGTGGAGGCATTCTTTCCAGATAGGAGGTTTTTTTGCATTATTTTCGTAGCGCAACACTGGGGTCATGCCATCTTGTTTGCGCTTGTATATGTATATAGAAACACGAAGTGCTAATCCATGTCAGTGTTGTCTTGCAGGGCTGTGATATCACTGGTGGGAAGTACATGAAGGTGCCAAACTACACAGGTCTCTTACAGTACTTACTCGTGAGTGTTCATTTGCCTCAAATAACAGTTTTGTTCTTTTGTGCATGAGTGATGTTAAAACGATTTTACTGTCAGTATGCATGACTTAGGTGCAACATGTCCAAGTTCAGTGAGACAGTGCTTCGAAGTGCTAAATTTAGGCACCAGGTTAAACTCGCATCAAGAGCAACCGAATTCCAAAGCTATATACTTTTGTCACCCACCTTCCCTTATACAAACCTTCCTTCCCTTACACGGCATTCTCAAAATGATCCCGATGACGTCAGACGAACCGCCTACAATTAATCACTAGTAATCAATCTAGCTACACTAAATAAAGAACCTTCCATGCATCAAGAGACACAATAAAATGCTGCTTGTTCGTTTCTGTTCGATTCATGGAAAAAAGAGCTGCCGGACATTGCTGTGAGGAATGGTGTGAATGGTTCGAAAATTCAATGTGGTTATACTGGACAGGCTGTGCCATCTACCAGGACCTAGTTGAACCTAAACACATCTGCCATCATAGAGCCAATGACAGAAAATTGATCGATGGCCACTGTTGCTGCTGTGGCTCCGCTGCTTTCGTTCTGCTGCTACTAGTAAAGCCGCGCAGTAAAGCCGGCCAACGTTGTGCATGACAACAGTGACATTAGACAGTCCGCTTCTGGGGGCGGGTAATTTGAAGTGGGCTAACCCAATACAGACCACTAAAACGTGATTTTATTTCAGATTAACCTCTTCCTTGGCACAAAAGTAATACTAGAAAGTTTCTGGACCATTTTTTTTCAACAATCAACGACGGCTAGTTGCCTTTAGTGTTCAATTATTCATTCATGCATTCTTATCCACAAAACAAATTTTTGCGCACACTCAAGTGATGGAAGCGAAGCAAGTGCAGCCTGTAAAAAAAGTGCACTACTTAACCATACGGTATAATCATCGGTCACCAACCAGCGCTCAACCTTAGTGAATGTCATTTGCAGCGTGTAAGCTGCTTCTTTAGTGTGGAAACATGGGCTCAGTGATTGAGATTAACAGTTAATAGCATTCAATATTGAATGCATTTCCAGAAACCATGCCCTTGGGACATTTGTGTTCTGCAAAACAGGGGCTTGGTAAAAATTAGCAACATTTGTAAGACAGAATAAGATGTGATCCAAGTAAACCCTCTTTTAGCAGCTATGGCCATCTTCATATGTCCCTTTTTATTAATGGTGCACTCAGCCTCATGTGCATGCGCATCTGTTTTGTTCGTCATGCTGCGAGGTTAGAAAAGTAATACAACTTTATTCGCTCCTGCCATCAGCCTGAACAGTTCTCAGGTCTTTCACTCATCAACTCTTGTATTGTTATAGTGAATCTAATCTAAGTTTTTATAATTTGGCTTGCAGCCTGAGCGCACCATAAATAAAAGGTGACCGCTGAAGATGACAATGGCCACTAGAATTCTCATTGTAATTTCTAATGTTACTCTTAGAACCATTTTTTATGCTTAAAAGTAGCAGATTGCGTGACACATTTGTCGGGGAGAGCCAATTATGTCGGTTTAGTCGCTATGTCACTTGCTGCGTAGGCTGCGTATCGCGCACGGACTCCGTAGTAGTTTCTAAATGCTCTTTGGTGTCGCCACCGGATGCCATCGGACGGTCGTACGAGAATGCCAATCATTTCTGAACATTGGCGAAAAGAAAGAAATGGCTTCGAATTGGGCACTTTAGGCAGTATTTTCTGTGGCACTGTACTCATTCTTTCTATAGTGGTCATGGCGCACGTAAAGAAATGCAAATAGGTGCTTGGTGATAGCTGTGCAAAAATGGGGGGTTCTTCGCCCCCCTTCCCCATTTTCAAAGAACCTTTGCCCCCCCCCCCCCCATCCTTCTGTGGACGCTTAAGTACTTGAAGGTTAATGCATATTACGTTTGGTGGGCAGTTAGTTATGTTCCTGGCAGGTTCTCGGTTATGTAATTATTAACGAGGTTTTACTGTGACGAGCTTTAAATGTGCCTGTGTGTTCATGCATTTGCATGTGTGTGTGCACACGCTGCTATGAACTTCATGCTGTAGCTAGCTTGTTCGTGTAATATCTTGCACTATCTTATGGCACAGCTTCTGTACATAATCATACCTTTGTTTACTTTTTTGCACTTATTTTGTGGGCTTGCTGCTTCTGTATAAGTGATTATATAAACTGAGGGAACCTTAAACTAAATAAAAGCTCAATTTTTTTTTCCTCTGGGTGTTTCATGGAAAGCCCATGTGTACTCCGAACACAGAGGTAGCTGCTCCAAAAGCAGATTTTGCCTGTTCCAGTGGCTTCTCCTAAATGCTGGAAGGCATTACCACCACTGATAGCACTATTCCGAGCAACTTGTACAATCGTACTCCTTGCACAATCGTACTCCTCTTCTCAGTGGGAGACGGCTTTTGTGTTTGCTTACGAGCTGTTCTCTGCGACAACAAATTGGCGGTGATGGGATTACATTTTCGGCAGTGTCAAATTGAATAAAGTAAGGGTATTGAAATGAAAAGCGTAATTTTTAATGTTTTGGTGAAGTAACCTGTGCATGAACATCGCCATTTTTCTTTAGTACCCGTGTAAACTGCGAATTTCGGGTCATAGGGGCATGCGGTGCGTGTGCCATTTACTGTGAATCACATAGAATACTACCACTTGTGACGGTGTGACAGGGTTCGCTGCTTTTCATGTGATGCATTCTCTGCCTCTTAGCAGGCATTTCAATATAAGTAAATTTTTTACTTGCTTTGTATTGCGGAGTTGCCCCTCCTGAACTGGAACTGGAATGACTGGCGAACACAGGAAGTTTTCCGTGGTTGCGAGGCGCGAGAGCAGATGAGCAGTGCGGCCTAGGGGTTCGTCCTCGATGCAGAGCCACAAGGTCCCTGTGTGTTGCACTGTTCTAACTGTGAAGAAAAAGATGTGCCTGCAGCAAGCAGCATTGACAACGCCCGGCTCTCTCGGCTCGTGCTTCGGTTCGTTGCTGTGCCGATCGCTGGACGGTTCTACACGCTGTCTCATCGCTGTCTTTAACGGCTAATAAACCTCCTCACATAGCTAATAACAACAGATCTAGAGGGTTTTTTGCTCATCAACCAAGTCTGAGTTCTCTTCATATTCACGACTGCTCCAAACGCTTGGAAAAACTGTTTAGTTTTCATAGCAGGGAACATCGAGATACACGGGTCAAGAAAGACTGACAGGATTTGGTGCATGGCTAACAACAGCAGCATTCATTTTATAAGCGCTCAAATATATATACTTCTTAGGTAATAGAAAGTAGAAGAAGAGGGAGAGGGTGGGGGAGAGCTCAGCGCATGCCTAGCAACTATTTTATGACAAAGCATGCTATGATTACATGCGAAGATACTTAATTTCCTTGTAGATTAGTACAATCGATGGTGTGCTTACGCACAACAGCCCAATGGAATAAATTGCGAGTGCTTCGTAGATTTCCCGGGCACAGCTATCACAATATCTGCGCAAGATATGGTGATAAGCCAAGCCAACAAGCTCGGTGTTTACACCCTTTTAATTAAGCATAGTATTCTCGGACACTACTTTTGTCAGCATAAAAATACGCTACGTCATCATTTCAGCTTTAACACATTCAAGCTTAAGCAGTGCTATAACATCACCATTCGTTCAAACATGCTCAACATGCAAATATTATGAGTAGTGGTAGAAGTGCCTCTGAGAATTAGTTGGGTGGTGGTACTGCACGAAACAGGTCACCAAGATATCTCTTGACCCTGGTAACGTGCCTTGCATACTTTCTCAGTTCTTAATGCATCTGCTGACATGAACTTTATTGAGCGTTCGTTCTTAACCCGATAAAACGATCAAGATTGCCTTTCCTACGTTGAGGAATGACAAGAATGGAATTGAACTGTCCTTCCATTCCTAGAGTGGGAATGGACGAAGTTTTTTCATTCCTGGGGATTGAAAAAAAAATGGAATGACAACAAGTCCTACTTCCCCGGAATGGACTCGAGACGCCCATTCCACGACACTGGTTTGGAGGCTCTTTAATGAAAGAACTGTACATTTGACAATAAAATTGAGCATTCCGTAGTACAAGCGCTACCGATTAGGCCACAATATATACTTGACATTAGGGAATAAGAACCTGTTGTATGTACTTAGACACGCATGTTTATACTATTTAGTATGTATGCAGATGATGTTAGATACGTAACTGCTCGAATAGTGCTTCACATAACATTGATTCTCAGGGTGTGGAATCCGCATAATTTTTGGTAATGTCGTCCGAGTGTGTTCACTGATTATTATGTGTAATGGTTCACATTCCATGATATATTTTTGAACTCATTGTTTTTTTTTTCTGTAACTGTTCATTAAGGAGTGCACATGGCTTGTAGTCTCTACAGCTGGCAACAGTTAGTTACTTTTCAAAGCAGGTATGGGAGTTCGAATGGCATTCCTAAAGTATTCTATAATAAGGCTAGATTTCTGGCAACCTGCTGTACGGCAAGTGATACCAGCAGTTGTTGCCCTCTTGAAGCAGTACATACTAGACGTGTGTCAAGTTCGCAAGCGGCTTTTTCTGCTTACCTCATTACGACCATCCCTTGGCAGTGGTTGTTCCTTCCGGACAAGCCAGCCAGGGACTACTTGGTCTTCCCGCCACCAGTTCATGTGGACTACAGAGCAGCCTGTTTTTGTCACAGGAATCTCATTGAGATTGGCTATGTATGCTCAGTCTGCCTTTCTAGTGAGTCTGTTCGATATTTTATATATGTGCTTTGGTGATTGGAGTTTTTTTTTTTCTTTTAAAGGAGCCTTGAATTGTGTATTGAGAAAAGCAGGCAATGTGTGTTGGTCTACATGTGGTTGGAAAAATAATGGACAGTTTGCAACAGCTTTTCGATACTCATTACATGATAAGTTACAAGCCTACTACACAATTACACCCTTCCATGTTTTTCGTTATTGTCGGTGCACCGCAAATGCTTGCCGCCTTGCATTGCTTTGCGCTTAGTTCAACACTTTGGTGTTAAGTCATATTAATAGCATCAGTTTGTGTGTTCATTCTAGTGTGTAGCTCAGAAGGCATTTATTCCGGCCACAAAATCATATCAACCTCTCACTAGTCATTAAAAGGTTTCATATTTAGTATTTCCATAGGTACTGAGAACCCCTGATGCCCTGTGCGATCCAGTCAATGTATATTATGTTTATCAGTGTATAGCATGATGAACACGAAAAGTGTTGTAGGCTTTATAAAGGTGACGCTAAGGGCCATCGTGTGTGTAGAGCAATACAATAGATTATGAGACAATCATCTACTCATTTCGCAAGTGTACTCTGTTTGGATATTGTTTCAAGACCTCTGTTAGGGACACAAAGGAGAAATACTCTACAAATGAAACTTGACAGATAAACTACACTTTAGCTATTGGCAGACAGGGACTCCTTTACTTATAAGTAAGCTTGTGCGAATATTCAAATGAATAAAGCAGTATTCAAATTTGCTTCAAATCGAATTTAAATTAGCAAACATTTTGAATTATTCCAAACAAACTAATAGGTGCATATTAGTCACGTTGCCCGCTCTCGCTTTGCGAGGCAACGTGACAAAGCGTCGGCATCTTGGTGCTGTCAACCCGACTTATATGCGATGCTGCAGTCATACTCTTGCAATCCTAGTACCCAACGGCCAAGGCGTCCCGACAAATTTTTGAGAAACGATAACCAACAAAGAGCATGTTGGCCAGTCACTATTGTGAAATGCCGGCCTTATAAATAAGGGCAAAACTTTTGTACAGACCACACGATGGCGAAACATTCTTGCTCAGTGATCCTGTAATTTCGCTCTGCAGGTGAAAGAGTACGGCTCGCGTAGGCCACGACTTGTTCTCTGAGAGCGTGGTTCCGCTAAAGAAGGACAGCAGCGATGCCAAGTCCACTTGCGTCAGTGTGTAGCACAGTAGGTGCAGCAAGGTCGAAATGGCGAAGCACTGGCTGTGATGTGAGGCATCGCTTGAGGGTGTGAAAAGCGGCTTCGCAGTCATCCGACCAGATAAAGGGTGCGCTCGTGGTCAGAAGTTTGTGCAGAGGAGCCGCAATAGTAGCGAAATCACATACAAAGCAGCGGAAATACGACGCCAAGCCAAGGAATCCGCGGAGGTCTTTGGGTGTGGTTGGTGTAGGAAAGTGCAGTACCGCAGCAACCTTGTCGGGATCAGGCTCAACGCCATGTTTACTGACGACGTGACCTAATACCTTGATACTGTGACTGGCAAACCGACACTTCTTAGTGTTGAGCTGGAGACCGGCCTTAGCTAAACACGTGAGGACTTCGTCTAGCCGTTCTAGGTGCTGTGAGAAGCTGGGCGAAAAGATGACAATGTCGTCTAGGTAGCAAAAGCAAATCGTCCCTTTTAATCCTCGCAGTACCGTGTCTATCATTCGATCGAATGTGGCTGGAGCGTTGCATAGGCCAAAAGGCATCACATTGAATTTAAAGAGCCCATCTGGCGTAGTAAACGCAGTCTTCTCTTTATCAAACTCGTGCATCGGAATCTGCCAATAACCAGAGCGCAAGTGGAGACTTGAAAGGTACTCGGCACCTTGTAAAGTATCAAGAGCGTCGTCAATGCGAGGCATTGGGTAGACGTCCTTATGAGTAATTTTGTTGAGTGATCTGTAATCAATGCAAAACCATACCGAGCCATCCTTTTCTTTTTACTAGTTTGACAGGGGAAGACCATGCACTTGTCGAAGGCCTGATGACGTTAGAGCGAGCATGTCATTCACTTGTTCTTCTATAAGGTTGCGTTCAGAAGCCGACACACAGTAAGGGCAACGGTGAATGACACGGGATCCGTCGGTGTCGATACGATGAGCAGCCACTGTTGTTTGACCCAGACCTTTGGAACAAATGTCAAAGCAAGTTTTGTGCTTCATTAGTAACGCTAGCAAGGCATCAGTTTGCGCTGGGTTGAGATATTCACACAAAGTGGCCTTGAGAGCAGGAGATGAATCTTCCGCTGGCATACACTTTGAGAATGACGAAGCAGATGAACCAGTGACGGCACAAACCAGTGCTTCTTTGGTAATGCTGGCAACAGTGGTCCCTTCTGGCAGAAGTAGTGGTTCTGGCGTCGTGTTGCAGGCGGTGATGCTTGCATAACCACGGGAGAACCGCACTAAACAAGATGTGATGGTGATCCCTCAAAAAATGCAGCGCTGGCAAGAAGCGTCACCATCTAGAATGTCTCGTGACTTGATTGTAAGGACACGTTCTTGTCCGGGAGGCAGGAGGAAATCCGCAGCTGTCACAAGGTTGGGCGACGAAAGGTCGGCAGCAGAAGAAAGCTCAGTGTCTGTAATACGAATGAGAGGCCGACCACACGAAATTACAGCAGACGCAGCTGACAAGAAGTCCCAGCCTAACATTATCTGATGAGCGCACGAAGACAACACAGCCTATTGTATGTGATGACGGATTGCATCGATGAGAACACGAGCAGTACACAATCCGGTCGGGCAAATCGGACTGTCATTAGCGCCGCATATCATGGGACCGGCATAAGGAGTTTGCACTTTACGCAGGCAAAAACACAATTCACAATCAATTACCAAAATGGCGGCTCCAGTGTCTATAAGGGCGTCAACAAAAACACCTTCCACACAAACAGGCAGTAAATTAGCTGGACGAGACGGAGGAGTTGTAATGTTCCGACAACAAGCAGTTTCCCCTCCAAAAACTGCACCTTCTAGTTTTCCGAGTCCAGAGAGATCGGTGTGGGACGCAGGGGTGATGATGTATGCTGAAACGGGGACGGAGAACGGCGGCGAGATGAACGAGAAGGATGAGGCCCAGCTTGAGACCGTGGAGGGGAGGGCGATCGATGGGAGGTGGACGGATACGGTGCGGGAATTCATCGGGTCTCAGGGCAAAGTCTCTTTCGTAAACTGGATAACCACGTCATTCATCCTGCTGACAGCGGCGGCAGAAACGGGATATATTACCACAGGAAATCATCATTGCTCCGCGCAACGTGGACGTCGGGAACAAGAGAAACGCTAATGGCATGACTGCGAGCGACGAAGCCAGCCGTAATGCACGAGCCGGCCCTGCATGCGCCCGGTACTCCGCCGAACAGCCAACGCCCGTGAAGAAGAGAACGAGAGTGCTCGAGGCAGAGGCTCACGAGAACTACCGCCCTTGGATCTTCTTGATTGCTGCGCGTCGTTCGCTTTGGGCACAAGTTCGCCCTTAATAAACCGTGTAAATAGAACATCGTTGTTGTGAGGCTGCCACATTCGTTACGATATGACCCCTTATGCCGCAGTAGAAGCACATGGGGTGCAGAGGACGCCATGTAGAATAGTGGGGTGGCCTTGGCACTTGCATTGTCATCGCTGCTAAATGGTCGCATCAGTCGTCCGCAGGCACGGTTGGAACTGATGCAGGGGCCCGTGATGCAACTTCTGCATACGAAGGCGCTGAAAAGCACACAGGAGACGGGGCATGTGCAGTGCTTGTCATTGATGTTAGTTCATCCTTGATTATTTCACGCAGGTTGGGAGGAGATGTACGGACAGACGAAATGGTTGGGTTACCTGGAACAAGGCCGTAGAGTTCCTCTCTGACAATTGTGCGGATAAGGGCTCACAATTCATGCTCTTCGATAAAGCGAGAGTCGCAGGAGGCGTGTGGAAGGCGCATGGAATGAAGCGCGTCCAGGCGTTGGCATGTGGTGATGACGTCCCAGACGATAGTTGGATTCTGGATCACGAGAGCGTTGAAGGCCACAGAGTTGATACCTTTCAGTAGGTGTCAGATGTGATCGGCCTGCGTCATGTTATTTCGCGCTCGGCGACAGAGAGCCAGAACATCTTCAATGTAGGACGTATATGATTCGTCATCCCCCTGTATGCGGGTTGCGAGCTTCTGTTTCGCTACCGCAGAGCATTCTGCAGACGTGCCAAATACCTGACGGAGATGCCCCGTTAAGGTCGACCAATTGGAGAAGTTGCTCTCGTGGTTGTAATACCAGGTTTTAGCGACGCCATCGAGGTAAAAAGGAACATAATGCAGTTTGTGTGCCTCGTCCCAATAATTACAAACGCTGATTCGATCATAACTATCCAGCAATTCTTCGACATCTTCGCCGCAAAGGGCAAAAAATACCGGAGGGTCTCGGTGAGAGGTACTCATGGTGTACTGAAGCCTAAGTGGCTGAGAAGGAGCGGTTGCAGCAGCGGACGCGTTGGGTTCTGCCATCGCTGTTGCTCGAGGGCACAACCGTCGACCAGACTGGAGCTCCAGGGGTGACTGGTTGTGCAGGAGGACGTGGGAACCAAAGCACGCTCCACCACCTATGAGACCACTTCCGGTACAGCAGTAACCAGGTTATCTTTTTAATCCAGACGCACGAGTCAGAGACCCAGCCCACAGGACATACGATGATGATCACTACAATGGTTTGGTCATAAAGATGAACATGAAGTACATAGTCTGCGCTCACAATATATATATTAGTATAGGGAAGTTATTAGGCCAATTGTAATGTAAATGTTAAGTGTCAGCGCGGTGTCGTCTCTTCCTCTGTCCTTGTCTATATTTTTGCGCTGTTTCTACTTCCCAAGTAAATGTGAAGAAAGGAAAGTGGGTGAAAAGATGACTTGCCGTGGGCAGGATCCGAACCTGCGGCCTTTGAATATATATTTATACTAGTCATGTTCGATTCGAAATGATTTGAC